ACGCTGAGCCCGGAGGCGAGCGGGGCTGCTGCGGCTGCTGCGCCAAACGCTGCAGGGGCTGCAGCTTTGAAATACAGAGGGTTGGCCGCAAGCAGCTAACTCAGCTCCTTTTCTGGTTTTGTATGGTCGCTGCGCTTAACAATATTTTAGTTATATTTTAAATGTTTTCATCAAAATATTTTTTGTTTAAAAACAGACCCTGTCCCCATGGCACAAATCCCTCTGTACCAAAGTTCTCGCCCAGCCCTAACGTGGGGAAATCGCTCACAAACGGGCAGAGCCCAGACTGGCGCTGGAGAAACGGATCCCGCGGGGCCCCAGCACCAGTCGGGCTCCACTTCTGCCACGCAGGAGTGCTGGGCCGGGGTCCCCGCGGAGCCACCCCGCTGCTGGGGGGAAGCTGGCCGAGCGTGGGGGCTGCGCGTGTTCCCGAGTGCCCCCAGAGGTGTTCCCTTGCTGCAAAACCGCCCGTCCCTTCTTGTGGGGGCGACAGCAAAAAGCAGCCCCTGCAGCTGGCTGGGCCTGGGTGTGCCGGCGGAGGATGGTGGCTGGTGGCCGGCGGAGGATGGTAACTGGCGGCTGGCTCTCACCGCAGCTCCCGCAGCTCCACGCCCACGTCACCAGTCCCTGGTAGGACTGTGGCAAGCCGGCAGGTTCAGGCACTCGGGAGCAGGGGTTAATTTTATTCTGCACTCAGAGGGGTTCGCCTGTTCGTCCTGCTTCCTCTGCCCCGCTTCCTCCCAGAGGCCTCCCAGGGAGGCCCAGGCTGGGTTTTCATACCAACCACGGTTGTTGGAGGTGACAGAGCTCTTACCAGTGCACTAAGGTTTTGTATGCAGATGACTTTTAGAGTTCAAAATGCATAAAATAAAAGAAAACGGCTGCCTGTGGACTTGGGTGGGAGTCACTAGCCTATGAAAAGCTTTTGAAACACTGACAAAGTCTAAACATAATTTTCTGTGATAGTAACTTTTTTTTTTTTTTTTTTGATAATACAAATAAATGGAACTATCCCGAACCTGAATGGAACAAATATTTCCTGTGACTATGGAAATAATATCCGCACGGTAGCCAGAGTTGCTGGAGATTATGTAAACCAATTTATCTATTGCAGTTTACTTCCACGTGAGAAATACCCAGCGTTTCCAGATGACCAGGGTATGTAGAACCAAACAAGTTCCATTCATTCTGAACACTTTTGTGGCCATAATTTTTCATAGGCCTTTTTTCTTTTTTTCAGTTTTATGCGCAGGTAATGCAAACAGGGAAGAAAAGACCCAAGCTGCTTCTGTTTTATGGGTCATAAAACTTTAAAGCATAGGAGTTCCATCATCTTAACATGAATTGACAGTATTTCAAATCTATCAATTTTCGTTTTAAATATCTGAATTTAAAAGCCAGTTCATGTACTTACATTATTACGATTTATCTGGTTAGAGCTTCTGCTTTAGATTTAGTAAGTACTAAAACAAAAATGTTCTAGCCCTGGGGAAATAATGTTGCTACTTATATCATATTTTCAGCTACCTTTGTTTAATTCCCCTCCCGAGCACGTGCTGCCTTTCAGGAGGAGTTCTGGAAGAAGAGCGAGTGCGTACCTAAAGGCAGCTCGGAACCTCGTAATCCCGTTCAGGCAGCCAAAAGCCAGGCTGAACTCCCCGGGTGTCCCCTGTTGTGGGGTGGTGCCAGGCGGGTGCCCCACTCGAGGCCCCGCGGCGCTGCGGAGCCGCACATCTGGCCGAAGCTGGCCGGGCCCGGACCTGGTCCTGGCCCCGGCACGATGGTGGCAGCCCCCTGCATAGCTCCTTCTGGGGCGTGCGATGCCTCGTCCCAGACTTGAGTGCTCGTTAAATCTTCAGCTTCCAAGCCTGGAGTGAATGCTCTATTGAAGATGGCTGACTTTAGTAGGAGCAGAATTAGCCAGTCCTTTTGAAAATCCCACTTCTCATAGGCAAGTTTATAAGGCTGCATTGTTTTTCTCCCTGGCTATCCAAAGAATGGGAGATCATTAACTGTTCTTATTGTTGGTTACAGCAATGTCCAAATGAATTTCTGGAATCCAGCGCGCTGATTTATTGTACATATTCTGAAAGAGGCATTGTCTCTTGTCCCTGGTGCTTATATGGCAAAATTGCAAAGAAAAAAAAAAAAATTAAACCATTTTGGGGGGAGGGGTAGTTAGTATAGCATGTTAAGTAGCCAAAAAAGGGTTTTCCACTCTTCTCTGTGGGTTTGTTGTCATGGGGAAAGTGAGCGGGGTTTTAAAACATGATAACTAACATGTTTTAATTACCACCTTTTTTTTTAAATATCATTTAGCACCAACTGTAAGCGAAGACAATAATTAACTCTGCTAATTAACACTTGCACAACATGCTGGAATTTTCTGCTGAAAGTTGCAATGTTCTTTTCTGGTGAGGGTGATGTAAAATGTTGATTTAAGAGGGAAGAGCTGAAAGTCAGAGGGCAAAAGATGAATGGTCCAAGCTCTGAAATGCAGCTTGGAGGAAGCCCTGGAGAAAACAAATCAGATTTAGCCTTTGTTTTCCCAAGGGTCTGTCTTGTCTTCTAAGCATGAGCGCGAGAAAGAGGCTTTTGCAACCCAATATTCTTTGGCTTGATTCTCTCAGACCACGTGGTCGTCGAAACTGCTCTCCGGGTCAACAGCAAAAACATTATCCGGGCCAATTTCACCATCTACGACTGCAAAAGAACTGGCAACATTTACCCGAAGCGAGCGTAAGTGACGCCGGGGCGGTGCCGGGGGTGGGTGGCAGCGGGTGGTGCACGATGGAGACCAGGTAGGACGGGATGTGTCCTCTGGCCCTCGAGCCCGGCAGGAGTTTCTGGTGCCTTTTACATTTTCACGCAGTCATGCTGCCATTAGTCTTTGTCCATTCCTTACGAAATACATGCTTTTAAAAACAATTGCATCTGGTCTGAGATGGTTGGGATGCTCTTCAGAGCCAGGATTTAACTGTAGCTGCATTGTTATGCTGCAGTCAGCTGCCAGTGCAGAGAATATCTCGCAGGCATCCAGCCATGGGACTGAGAGAGCCAACACCCAGTTAAAGACCATCTTTTGCCCTTGCAATTATCATTTATGAGTAGGAGACGATCAACACTCAAAAGGGATTTACAAAATTAGACTCTGCGTTTACAAACTGAAGAAGTCGGACAAAATGTCACCTTCTCCTCTTCAGTTCTGGGCTCAGCCTGGCCTGCTCTCACTTAGCCCGAACTGTTGATGCTGGTGGGAGTACGTGCTCTTATCGTGGCAACCAGACACTTTAAATATAGCAGCAAAGCTTTAGGCTTAGCTGCATGGATGGGGGAAAAAGTTGCAGGCACAGGATTTTCTCAGGCTCTTCCCTCACAAGGAAGTCAACGTTTTTATCACCTGTTTTAAAAATAATCAACCACAAATTGTTCCCCTGTTCGCTGCAGGTGTTCTCTGCAGCATGAGTGCACGAACTTCACAGGGGCCAACTTCTGGGCGAGCGCAAGTGAAGGAGTGCAGCAGTGCCCTTCCATGACCATCTTGGAGCCTGAGATTAATATCGACAAAGAGAACCCGGTGCGTTTGCTGTAAATACCAAATCAGTCATGTGCAGCGTCCCGTAGCGTCGTTACCCGCTCTCAGGGCTGACAAATGTCCACGCTCCTCTGGCGCAGCAGCACGGCCTCGCGGGGTGCCGAGCTCTGTGTGCCGCCGTCAGGGCGAGGGCCCCAAGAGC